TTTGAAAATTTTGTCTAGGAGGCTATGACCTTCATAAATACTATTTACCGGGTCACCTGATCATGGGAAAAATTGTAAATGAAACTTTTCTTTACTTGTCTAATGGCAACTATTAATTTTTTAGGAGAACATAGTTTTCCCAAATAACACCCTTATTAATTGTCAAGCTGATAATATTAAAGTCGCAGAAGAAACTGTCGAGAAGAAGCTCATGCAGTGGAAAGGAAAAAACAGGGTACTATTTAAAAATATATAAAATTGAAAATGTACAAACTGTCCGAATTTTCAATCATGCCAACTTGATGATAAATTGAAGCAAAGCCACCTAAGTAATATTTTGTTTGTATAAAAATGTATTTACTTATCTAGGTTTTTTCCTTCCTGTATGATTATTTTTCAGCGGATTTTGAAAATTTTTATGTCAACATGTTGCAAAAAAAGTACCGTTTTTTAAAAGCTTTTGTTCCCACTAGGATATAAATAACAGGCACAGGGTAAAATGCAAGCCAGTCTCCGTCAATAATGAATGAATAACCCCACAGAACGATTGGCGAAATGTTAGCAAGTTTGACCCAACAAAAAGCGACCTAGGAGCAATCCGGAAGTTTTGTAAAAAGTCTTACATCAGCCCGTTGAAGTTTCTTTGAAAAATATCCCTTGTGACAACACTGCAATCGGAGTATGCAACCAAATATACGCCTGAGCACAATTGGTTCCTTCACTTACTTCCTATTCCTGTTATGATTAGTTTTCATAAGCAAAATGATAACTAGTCCCCGTGAAAAGATTTCGTAGGAAAATAAAAAGAGAATACTGTACCCGGTTGTCGATTTTAATTTAGGCGTCCTATATACCGGATTGCGGATTAGAGCATCCGAGATTAAACAAAAACGATCTGCCGTAACTCTAAATGCAAATCCGGCCTCCCCCACCCACCCGCGTCCCGGGCGAATTTCCTATTAAAAATATTCTAAAACCGCCCCCTCCACCGTCGCCCAATAAACCTTCCCCGTACATTAACCTTAAAAATAATGCAAATTCTCGAGTGTGTCTAAATATAAAAGGGTTGGAAAGGCGCCGATCTGCTCTCCAGATATCCCGAATTAATCCCGAATATTAAGGCGGGCGGTGGGCGGAGGGGGCGGCGCGTGGGACGGCCCGAAGTCCTGTGTTTTTGTACCGGATACGCAAATTTGCATCGTAACGTTTGACTTAATTATTTTATTGGACCCGCCGTTAATTTTACCCCCCGGGCAACGGCGCTACTGCATCTGAGACGGCCGGCGATAAGTCTCCGGCAGGTTTATAATTTGTGATGAAAAAAATGCCATTTTGCAAACATAATAATGTTGAATTTTGTCGATAATTATAATTGTCCATCATTTACGGAATAACAATGTGAATGCAAACATTAAAAAACCTGGAAAATTTAAATCAAGAATTGGATAAATTCTTCAAATTCAGTACACTCATTCAAAATAATATCTAAGAATATTTTATGGGTGATGATGAAAATTATAGATGGTCTTTCAAAATTCAGTGTGTTAGTAATTTGACGAAACAATTGTCTCATTAATTGGTTCGATATCTTGGCCTCCTAGATCTTCTGACCTTTCACCCCAGGATTTCTTCCTCTGGGATCATACAAAAAATGGATTCTATGAATTTTCTTTTTTTTTTATAATTTCTATGATTCCCGACTTTATAATTGAGGAATATTGACACATTGAGGAATATTGACAGGAATAAACTTGTTAGGGTTGTAAGAAAAAAGTCATAAATTGCCAAAAATCTCTCCTTAATGCCTCCGCAGAGCATTGTTTTCATCTTTTCGACTTGAAATCGGTATCTAAAAAACCAACTCGATTTACCTCCGCGCGTGTCGTCCTCCCTTTTCCGCCGGCCTCTTGTTCGACGTAATAAAATTCTTTGATCGTAATTCGCCATTATTTCACGATGCGCATCCCCCCAAACACCCCCACGCCGATACGATGGCCCTTTCGCCTCGAGAGAAATGTTATTGTGCAATATTAAAGACATAATTTAAAATTTTATTGGATTCCGCGAGTATAATGCGCCTTTTTTCCCTTCGACGCGTCGTCGTCTTACCTTATTGGTATTTTCGCATATTTATAAATTGACAACGGTGGGGGGACGAGTGCCGGATTGCTACGGGCCGCGGACCGCTCGCACGACGCTTGTTTTCATAGAATTTATAGATTTTCTTCCGTCCTGGAAAAATATTCACCAGCATTCTGTACCTCTGTTTCAATCAACTAATAACAAATTATAATTGCTAGACATTTCAAAAGTGTTTGCTAATTTTTGACTTCGGCATTATAACAATTGCTATGGAAATGGAAACAACAAGTTCTGCAAGCCACAATACAGTTCAAATGTTCTTCAAAAAAATGTTTAGTTCTTCTTCTTCTTTGACTAAGGCAAGGCTCTATTTAATGTACCTAATAATGGCTCTTGTGAGAGAGACGTCCAGCTATCTCGCCATCCTTGTAGGGGTCTGCCTGGTGGTCGTCTTGTGTTGGGATTTTGTGTCCTCGTCCACTGGCCTCATCCTGTCCACATAGTCTCCTAGACCTAATCCATGTTACGATATTTTCTATTTTAGCTCTGTTCTAATGGACTCCTTTTATATTCCTCTATATTCTCATTTTCGCGGTTGGGAGCATTCTTTCTATTGTTGAGTTATTGGCTCTTGTATCCGCGCCATACGCACGAGTCTCACACACGTTTGGTATACCCAGACTTTACTTTCAGCTGATATATATTTGTTCTTCCAGATCTTGCTCCGGATCGATTCTTTGCTAATTACCATGGTTTGTGTGTTTTCAGTACTAGTCGTTGCGGGTCATCTTCATTCTTACAAGAACTGCATCGTCCGCATAGCAGAGAATCTTCAGTTTCACACTATTGATTATCTTCTTCTTCACGATGTTAAAGAGGGTAGGGCTTAAGCTGCCACCTTGTTTGATACCGCTCAATATTAAAAGTTCTTGGGTAAGGCTGTTTTCTGTTTTAATCCTTGTTTTATTGTTAACACTTATTTCTTTGACTACTCTTATATACCTGGAGTCAATGTTATTTTCAACTAGAGTGTCAATCACGTCTTGGAGATTTATTCTATCGAATGCCTTCGTCAAATCCACAAAGCAGATAAACATGGGTTCTATTGACTTCTCAATTAGTTGCCTAAGAACAAATATGGCGTCCACTGTAGATCGGCTTTTTCTCCTTACCGCTCCGCAGAAGTCTCTATAGACCGTGTAATATTTTGCGTTAAGATCACTTTTAATAGCTTCAATAGACATATAAGTATAGTTATTATGATCCTTTCTTAACCCTTTCTTGAATACCGGAATGGTTATGCTTGTTTTCCACTTAGAAGGGATCTGTGCTGTACAGACTTGTGATTTCTTCTACCAATTTACCCCACCCCATATTTTAGTAACTTATTTGGTATGTTATCGGTGCCCGGAAATTTTGTATATCTTCTAATGTGATAATTTCGTTAACGGTGTTGATATTATTTGGGCACTATAGCTCTCTCTCATGTTAGGCGTCTGAAGTGACAGGCTACCCTAAAGAAACTGAAATACTTCGAGCTAAGGATATATCGCCATATTCTTCGGATATCCTACACAATCATATTATAGAAACAGAAGAGATGCAGAGAAGTGCAAAAAGTAATACGGTAAGGTACGGTAAGTGGAAACTTAAACTTTGGTCACATTATGAGACCTCAGGCTACTTGTTTCTTCAATCTCGGGTTTTATTGGTACAATATCAATTATTCTAGTAGTTACTAGTATTTAGTTATTTGTCACAAATAACGTAAGTGAAGGTATTATCAATGGATCCATGGAAGATGTTTATCGAAATTAATACTAAAATACGTGGTAGATTGATAAATTTAGATTGTAAAATGGATTGACTATGCACTTAATAAGTAAAGTTTTGTTTAAGTCTCATCTCAGTTATAGCAACACTTTTATATTGACAGAACTTATTCATTAGAGACAGTATCAACTGATAATGATATGAGAATTCTCAGATTTTATGATCTCTACCATTAAATCGATATTTTAAACATCAAATGCCCATTTTTGGTAGATTTTCTTCTACACAAAGACAACTTTCAAAAAAATCTTAAAATTGCCCAAACTTTTTAGAAAAATCCGATAAAAGTATTATTATTCTGTAGACAGTTATTAAATCTTTGTCACCCTTAGTGTCTATTGGTATTTATTAATTAATTTAACATCAACATTAGCAACGTGTTTTATCAAAATAAAATGTGATGTCTGGCATATCGAAAATTCGTTCTCATAATTTGTTTAATTTCGCAGATGAGAAGCATTTGTAAGTCCATCATCCACAAGACATTCTGGAAGATCTCCGAGTATGTTTATCATCCCTGGTCTATATTCCAAGTCTTTCCGTGCAGTTTGCGCGCGACCCGTTATTACGAAGACCGAAAATTGAATACCCAATACGGGCCATGCATTATAGAACACCACAATTTGGGCTGATATCTATCGCCGCCTCACCTCCGCCGCCCCGGCCACCCCCGATCGCTCTCTTTAAATATTAAACATACAAATTGAGACGATCTTGTGACGTAGCCGAATTTGAATATAGAATAGATGTTATCCGAAAGGCGCCGCGACAGCCTTCGACTCCCCCCATGCCCCACTCCCAGCGCGCGGTGGGGCGCTTTATTTTTCCCCCCCGCCGAGTTTTTCTTCGACATATTTTATTGTACGTTCAGATTTACGACTTTTAATATTCGAACTTGCAAATATTATATTTTATTCCCGTTCCGTCTAACATCGACTCCCCCCCACCTCCCGCTCCAAGCCCCGTCCCACGTTCCATATGTGATATTATATTTCTGGAATTCGCTACAGGAAGTACATTTGACATGTTATCCTGTGCGATATTGCGTTACCGCGAGATTGCACGTGAAAACATAAAAAAAAACATTCTTCTCGGTTATATTTTATTTGCCAACCAACGGTGATATTCTGACAGGGATACCAACGGTCGATTGCAGCAACAAGCTCTTAGGCTCGAACACCAACGGGACTGGCGTATCGTTGGTCTTTTCCACGTTGAATCCTTTCAAAATGTTAATCGCTCCCAACTTGACACCCAACAATCCGAACCGTTCGCCTGCACACGGATAGCCCTTAATGGGACGTCCACCCAGATTGCTGGAAATCCTTACCAATACAAATCCTAGGACCTTCTCCGAAAGGTATGTAATAATAACCCTCTTTGTTGATCTGGTTCATGTCTTCGAACCTTTGGGGGATAAATTCGTACGGGTTTGGAAAATACTTCTCGTCATAATGCAACCCGAACATGGGGATCAATATTGGAATTTCTTTTTCTATGACCAGGTCGGAGTCTGGCACTTTGTAGGTGTTGGTGCAACGTCTGTCCAAGAACGGAAGCACAGGATACTTTCTTAACGTCTCTAAATTAAACGACAGAATAACTGAAGTACTAAATGAGGACAGATGCTGCACTTACCCCTGACGCACATGTCGAGGAACTTCATGTCTTTGACCGCCTCATACGTCAAACCGCCATGCTTTTCAATCACTTCCGTTATCTCCTCCCTGGCTTTCTGCTGGTAACCTTCGTGGAGAGCTAGTTCATAAATCATGAAAGACAAAGTGCTGGATACTGTCTCAAAGCCAGCGACGAAAAACTGCGCCGCCTGAGCGATGATCGCGTCGTGAGCTGCAACCTGGCGTGGTTATCTCTTCCTTTGAGGATGTAGTACTCACTGAATTCGTCTTTGGTATCTTTGCGTTTGATTTCCAGCAGCATGTCAACTAGATCGTTGCCTCGCAGGGAGGTCAATTTTTCCCTTTCAGACAAAACGGAAGCGAAAATTGCTGACATCGAATTGAGACTCGACTGTTCGACAAATGATATTTTGAATAGGCGTACCGCAGCTGGCAGGAAAAAAGCAGCTACTTGGCGGGCAGCGGTGGACATCCTGTAACCGCGAATGACATTCCAATTGTTCGGTTAGAATACGCTTACCTGAAGTCAAAAACCGTTCTTCCAATTTTCCTAGCAACAAAAGATTTTCATTGAGCGCTCTAGCTGTAAGTAACTTAATCACCTGAACTCCGCATCCTCTCGATCGTAACACTGAGCATCGACCGCAAAAGCACAACTCGCTATCACATTGGTGGAGTACTTAGCGCAAACTTCCTTTGCTTCAGTTGATTTCTCACTGATGTTTCGCCTGAGGTACGCCGTCATCTTTTCGGCTTCCATCTGGATTAAAGGGAACATCATCTTCAACTTGCCCGACGTGAACACCGGACTCATTTTGGTCCTGATTTTCTTCCAGCCTGGATTGGGTTTGACGAACATGAAATTGGACATCACTGAGTTACCCTCGGGTGCGGTTATCCCCCTGTTCTCGAAATGGGAGAAGTCTTTGAGCAGCACCTCTTTTATGAGGTAGGGATCTTTGATGACCAAATACGGTTGATCAAAGATATAGATACCCAGGTAAGGACCAGCGATCTTTTCGTAGAGCTCTACGGTAAACTCTCCTAGCGTTTTCCTCAGTAGGAACACTGGGAGAAAGTTGCCCAGATAAGGAAGAGGTTTGAGGTACGGTACGTTGCGTTTCTTCCAGTAGTCGTACTTTCTGGTCGAGTAGACGTAGAGGACGAGGGCCAAGATGAAGGCCAACGCCAAAGTGGACAGCGACAAGGTCGCAAGCATCTAGAGATGCAGATTTTTAAACTTTTCATTTTTGTTTAAGCAATTGCTTTTAATAACATGTTATTAAACAACTAACTTAAAAATGGTGGAGTTCACAGGTATACGACATGTATATAATGTTTCTATTTTATTCGCTTTTAATCAAATCCGATCAGAATTAAATAAATATAAAATAGTCACCAGACTGTTCCACCTATTTCCGGCCTATTTTTTAAGGTCAAAGAAAATAAACTGATTGTGCAATAAACATATATTCATTTACCATTTGTTTACAAAATAAAACCACAACTTTGTATCGTAATCTGTTGAATCTGTTGAATATCAAAATTGAAACACACATTATGACGGCGGAATTTCCACTTTTGGCTGTCGAGTGGGATTTTCCACGATTTATTGTAACTGAAACTGCGAGCGACCAGACACATTTCGTCTTGATATTCCAAAGAAAAAGCGATATTAATCAATTAATAGTCTCTAAGCCCTCAGTAATAATCCATCCTCTTTAATGTCATCTTCTGGTTAGTACGAAAAAATGCCATGTGAATATTTACGTTGATCATTTCATCACTTATCAATTTGAGTATAGAATAGATAACAGGAAAATAATTAATAACACTTATATTGAACGTTAACAAAAATCAGAAGTCACTTTGGCAGAGCAGTTTAGCATTTTTATATTGTAGCTAATGGAATAATATTTTTATAAGCTCCTATGCTTTATTCTATTTTTAATTTTTTAATAAAAGTAAAAATAATTCAAAAAAAAAAATATTATATATATATATATATATATATATATATATATATATATATATATATATATATATATATATATATATATATATATATATATAAATTATAAGTTCCCGTTTCTAAATTTTGCTTAATGCTTATTCCTTGTCTTTACCAATATGAATAATTATTTTTAATATTTTCTAGTTTTTTGAATCTAAGAGTATGGTATGACTTGTTTAAAATCATATGATGGAACACTTAAATCATAATCGTAATCGTAAATATGTAGTTGTAAATATATGATAAAGAAAAACTAAACGATTTTAACTAATTCAGCTTACCTTTTACTAATTGCTTTGATAATTCAGAAAATTCTAACACTCTAAACTGTCAGTAGTTACGCAACGGATATCGAGAAAGATGTGAAGTTTTCGAAAACAATGTCAATGGCGTCAGACAAATTTTTTTTCCAGAACAGAACAGTGTAAACATGTCTTGCCTTTTTTTATATTAGCATCGCAGATAATATGTTATATATTTTAAAGAAACATAATACCCAATGACTACCTAGAGATTTAAATACTTATCCGCATGCAGCAAAGGATATTATCGTAATTATAACATTATATAACTATACATATTCGTCCTCACAAAATATTTGAATTCCTTGGGTTATTGTTGAATGAAAAAAAGTTATTTTTTAAGACGTAGGTTTAAACATTCCGAACCGGTGTCTAATTAAATGCATTTTTTTTGCTACGTACGTAATTGAAAACGTTTAACTCGGGTGTGCGAAATTTAACCGACGGAGTTGTTTTTCCGACCGGAGAACTTTGATTTGCGACCTGGTTACCGTAATGGCTACTTACCCTTTCTGAATATTTTACGGACGTACGAAAACTGAGAAAGCTGGATTTGCAGTCAAATTCGACAACTGAGACAGCACGAGATGAATGATGTTTATATATATGCGCAGAACTGGCAGTACGGTATCAGTACGGCTGTCGTGTTTGCTAATAACAACAATTAAATGGACGGCTTGCAATCGTTTTATTGCAACTTGGTGAAAAAAAAAACAAACGTTGGGATCAAGCGTCATTACGGATCGAAAATCTGGCACTTTCTACCGAGCGAATTTGATGTTTTTGTTTTTGTTATTGTCCGTTCATTGGTGAACGAAAATTATAGAGATTGTGTATAAAATACTTATTGTTTTTAATACGACGAGAAAAAATGCAGCCTTATCGAGAAATTACAAACCGAGTTGAACTGGGGCGATGATACGGCTAGGATGAGACTTTATTTTTACTTTACTTGTAAATTCAAAATCTGTATTCGTTACGGTTCTGTTTGGATGCAAGGACACCTGCAGCTAAATCGTTGTTATTTTCCAAACTGGCACGCGAAAGCGAGATTTCCCAAACAAACGTGGCAAGTTTAAGGTTTAAAGTTTATCGGGACGACATTGGTCTACACGCAGATCAATGTCACCATCACAAGTAATTGCTCTGCAGCATTTGATTAGCAATTTTTAATAATAGTGGCAGTACGTTACTTTCCAAAAATCGATGAAATCGATTTATTTCGAAAGTATACGCGCTCCTCATTAAACTCCAGATCTCAATAACGGTGAATCAGCATCGAAAAAAAAAGTTTTTTTTTGTCCGTCCATTCTCCGTTCTGCGTTTGTCCGTTCTCTGTTTCAGGGTTTTTCGACGATAACTTCCGAACGGTTTGAGCTACACGTTTCGAATTTTGCTCCTCTTTAACCGTGCACGGGGTGCACAAGATTTGTAAAAATGGCTGCGTTCAAACTCCGGTGTCCATTTTTTTTTTAGATTTTCACCTGTTCTTTGGATGTTGCTATAAAACACGATAAGTGTCCGAAATTTGAAGCTATCAACTTTAACTTATGCAGACGAATAGCGCCTGATCCCCTAACGGAACCTACTGAAATTGGGGTTTTGGGGGTCGGGAAGTATTTTTAAAAAATTAAAAAGAGTATAAGAAATCCTGTTGTACAGGATGTTCAAGAAAGCAAGTGCTATATTCAAAAATTAACAGGTGTCTTAAATTTGCAGCTATTGCCTTCAGACTTGGCAGAAGGGTAGATGTCCACACCCGCATTTCATCAAAAATATCATTCGACAACGTAAAAATTTTAATATTTACCAAAGTTTGCCGCAACTCTGAAGTTCGGCGGGACATGAAAAACACTTTGTACAGGGTGTATGCACAATACGAAGTGGTCCTCAGGAGCACGATAAAAAAACAATGCGTCCCATTACCACAAGAAACCGCGAAGCTCTTTCTTTTTAAAATTCAAAGCTGTTTCGCGCTACGCGCGTTTGAATTATTTTTGCTATCATTTAACAAAAAATTTCGATAAAGTCTAGCAGATGCTTTACAGATACTATTCAATAATATTAATAATAACAGAACTAACCAAAACTAAGCAAAGGTTACAGAGGAGGTCTGGTCAGTGATACTTAACCTGCGACGTACTTACGGTATAATTATAAACAATAACTATTACAAATCAAAACATAATGTCATAACACACACACAATAGTAATATTACCAATTGGTTGCTACCGAAAATACAATAATCAATAAAATGGAGTTGTGCATTAAAGACCACCACAATTTGGGCATATTTTATTCTTGTCTAATACCAACCCATTTCTCTTTATTTATCATCCAATGGTGAAATTCTGACGGGGATACCAACGGTCGACTGCAGCAACAAACTCCTGGGCTCGAACACCATCGGGATGGGCGTATCCTTGGTCTTTTCCACTTTGAACTCTTTCAGTATATTAATCGCCCCCAATTTGACGCCCAGCAACCCAAAACGTTCGCCTGAAAACCAACCGCACTCACTGCCATCTCCACCCAAATTGTGTGTAAATCTTACCGATACAAATCCTAGGTCCTTCTCCGAAAGGTAAGTAATAATAACCCTCTTTGTTGATCTGGTTCATGTCCTCGAACCGCTCGGGGATAAATTCGTTCGGGTTTGGAAAATACTTCTGATCGTAGTGCAACCCGAACAAGGGAATCAATATTGCAATTCCCTTTTCTATGACCAGGTCGGAGTTTGGCACTTTGTAGGTGTTGGTACAACGCCTGTCCAGGAAAGAAAGTACAGGATACTTTCTCAGCGTTTCTAAATCAAACGACAGTGAGAAACTAGGTATAGAAGGACTCCATTTTTCAGTGGGTAATAGTGGTGGGCTTACCCCTGACGCACATGTCGAGGAATTTCATGGTATTAACCGCTTCATAAGTCAAACCTCCATGTTTTTCAATAGCCTCCGCTATCTCCTCTCTAACTTTTTTCTGGTAACCTTCGTGGATAGCGAGCTCATAAATCATGAAAGATAAAGTGCTGGATACTGTCTCGAAGCCAGCGACGAAAAACTGGGCCGCCTGAGCGATTATCGCGTCGTGAGCTGCAACTTCGCATTTTCATCAACTTGCCTTTGAAGACATGACACTCACTGAATTCGTCTTTGGTATCTTTGCGTTTGATTTCCAGCAGCATGTCAACTAAATCGTTGCCTCGCAGAGAGGTCAACTTTTCCCTTTCAGACAAAACGGAAGCGAAAATTGTCGACATCCAATTGAGACTCGACTCTTCGAAGAAACATACTTTTAATAGGCGCACCACATCCGGCAAAAAGAAAGCAGTTAGTTGGCGGGCAGCATTGGATATCCTATAACCGCGAATCACATTCCTATTCTTCATTTAGAATGTCCTTACCTGAAGTCAAAAATCCTTCTTCCAATTTTCCTAGCAACAAAAGATTTTCATTGAACGCTCTACCTGTAAGTACCTTAATCACCTGAACTCCGCATCCTCTCGATCGTAACACTGAGCATCGACCGCAAAAGCGCAACTCGCTATCACATTGGTAGAGTACTTAGCGCACACTTCCTTCGCTTCAGTAGACTTCTCAGTGACGTGTCGTCTAAGGTAAGTCGCCATCTTTTCGGCTTCCGTCTGGATCAAAGGGAACATCATCTTCAACTTTCCTGACGTAAAGACAGGACTCATTTTGGTCCTGATTTTCTTCCAGCCGGGATTGGCTTTAAAGAACATGAAATTGGACAACAGAGGGTTGCTCTCGGGTGCAGTTATCCCCCTGTTCTCGAAATGGGAGAAGTCTTTGAGCAGCACCTCTTTTATGAGGTAGGGATCTTTCATGACCAAATACGGTTGGTCGAAAATGTAGATGCCCACGTAGGGTCCAGTGGTCTTTTCGTAGAGTTCTACGGTAAACTCTCCCAGCGTTTTCTTCAGCAGGAACACTGGCAGAAAGTTTCCCATGTAAGGCAACGGTTTGACGTACTGTACGTTTCTTCTCTTCCAGTAGTCGTATTTTCTGGTAGAGTACAGGTAGAGGAGGAATGCCAGTACGAAGACCAATGCCAAAGTGGACAGCCACAATGTCGCAAACATCTAAAGTTTAGGAATTAATGGGAATTATGTAACAGGTCTTCAAATGTTGGATTTTCATAAACGCTAATTGCTTTTAATAACATGTTATTAAACAATTAAGTTAAAATTGGTGGATTTTGCAAGTGCACCGTATGTACATAATTTTTAAAAAATCCGTCAGCGTGTATTGTTTCTATTTAATTCGTTGCTCGGCATTTGAGAAATATAAGATTGACCATTTGAATGACATAAATATCTACCGGTCAATTCCTCTAATTTAAGAACAAAAAACTGAACTAAATATATTATTTGTTGACAAATTGAAACGACATGAACATGTTTGATACTAGAATATAAAAAATTGAACATGTTTGATACTAGAATATCAAACTCATAATTGTTAATTTAATATTCTCCAAGCCCTTTCTGCAATATTTTTAAAAATCTGTTCACCGTAATGAATATCTGCGTTTTGTACATTTATTGGTGATTAAGATGTTATGCGGTCTTACCAATTTGAGTATAAAATGAATAATAGAAAAGTTAATGAAAGTTCTATTGAACGTTACATAGTATAATATTTTACTTTCTTATCTCAAAAATAGATATTGGTGAGTTTCAAATAAATTATGAATTATATTTAAATTTAATTTTTTTTTACAAAAATCGAAATGTTGAGAAAGTCACCATTGTTTGAGTAATTTAGCTTTCCATACTACACAACTTAAGACGAGGAAGTTATTACGTCACAGTTTTACAAAAAATAATATGAAACGTTATATATTTCAAGAATACCCGAGAATACCCAGTCCTTTTGCGAGTTTTCGCTATTTTTCAAATTATGGATACAATTAATTGGTATTTTTGTCAATTTTTTTCTTTGTATAGTTGCCGTTTTTTTTTTTTCTATAATTAATAGTTTCCACAAAATGTTTTTATTTTCACGGTTATTATCGAATGCAAAAAAAAAATTTTTTTCAATAGTTACGTAAACAGTGTTTTAACATTCAGAACCGATGTCTAATTACGTCGCACTTTTCACGACGTATGCCATTGAAAACGTTCAACTCGCGTGTACGAAATTTAAACGATGAAAATTTGATTTTTTCTTTCCGAAACAGTCGAGTGATCGAAAATCTTTCATGTGCGACAGGCTACTTACGTTTTCCATGTTCCAAATATTTTACAAACGTACTAAAACCGGCAAAGCTGGATTTGCGGTCGAATTCGACAACTGAGACGACGCGAGATTCAAAATGTTTATATATGTGCGCGGAACTGGCAGCAGGGTATCAATGTCGTATTTGGTAATTACAGCAATTAAATGGACCGTTTGCAGACGTTTTGTTAGAACTTGCCGAAAAAACAAACGCGAAAACAAGCAATACAATCGAAGCAAAATCTGGCGAATTTGGTGTCTTTAATTTTATTATTGTCAGTTAATTGGTAGACGAAAATCCTACATATTGTTTATAAAATACTTAGCGCTTTTAATACGAAAAGAAAAAATGCAGTGTTATCGAGAATTTACAAATCGGATTGAACTATACGATGAACTCTGCTGATGATAGGTTCCGAATAAAATTGTGTAGATGTAATATGGGCGCAAAATAAATAATATTTTAGAAAGCGAACTATATATTGCTTCTGGTATTTACGGTCAAAGTTAGTCTACAATAAAAAATGCAACTTGCAATTTCAAAAATTGAATTTCTCACGGTTCTGTTTGAATGTAAGGGTTCTTCCGGCTAAATCGTTCGTAATTTCAAAACAAACGTGGCAAGAATTAAAGTGAAAATTTCGGTTACCTGTATTACGACTGGCACTTTTTAATAATATCAGTAGTAGTAGTAGTATTTGTTTGAACGTTTTCCATCTTTACAACAAAAAACACTAAAAAAACACCTTACATATACTTTGGGGTATAAAATCTGATTGCAAGTAATAAATGCAAAATTAATTTATTTACATTGTACTTCATGATTGCTATAGTTTCAAAAACCTTCGTTTGAATTGAGCCGTTAATATGTTATTTGGAGCACGCAGAAACTCGCGCTTTGGTTAGTCCCTCCAAATCAGTGACCAATAAGATGTCTTGGAATACTCCATAATATTTTGAAGTTATTGTGGAACATGACAAGACGTCTCCAATGAGTGCAACCGAAGAAAGATATACGGTGTACTAAAAAAAAGAAGATAAACGTGAGTACAAGAAAATTGCTCAACTTCTTTCGAATTGGGGATCTAGTGTACAAAGTTTGTCACATGTTTCTTTTCAACTAAGCCGATATCCTAGGACATTTCTTGAAAGACCGTGGATATCTCCAAAAAATAAAATGTGTTCAACTGCCTTTCATTTATGGTTGATATCGTGGTGTCGTGAGGGTTCTATATGTCTCGCGTTCAAGGTATCAGGAAAAATATGTGCAATGTACAAATTTGTCCTTCGACCTTTTGAGCTTGTTGTCCCTTAACGAAAAAAATTATCTCTGGCGTCTCGGGATACTTAAGGATATCCTGGTGATAAACAGTGTACAAAACGTTGCCACTCCTGGAGTATTTTTTTGTTCATGCACAATTTTTGGGGAAAACTTGTATCTGATAACAACCTACGAGCCAGAGGGCTCACTCGGAAGGAGGGGATTACAATCCGCCGCGATTTGTTTTCTTTGGCGAAACGTCTGTCGTTTCTGCGAAATCCGACATTTGACGGTATACGTTTAACGGGCGCATCGCTGTCATTTTCCCGTTTATAAACACACACACACACGCGCGCGCGGGTCGGAATTTTAAATATCCCGTCAAACTTTCCTCCGGCGTTCTTTATTGTTCGGATTTCAGGCGATCCTAGTTTTAAACGAGTTAGAACCCGGTCCGACGAACACGTATATGTGCCGCCGCCGCCGACTCTCTTTTGCTATTTTTGCATCCTCCCCCACCCCATGTCCGAAAGATCCATCCGGTATTATCGTCCGACAGCCGGTATTGTTCCGGTTTCCGGCGCGGGTCGAATTTGCTCCTGATAAATTCGGCTTCTATATATTCAATAATTTGAGAAAAAACGTTCCCTTTCAAAACGGATCTTGACTTATGGTTAGTCGCATAGTACGCGGCTCCTAAGATATACAGGTCGTTGTAGGATTTTTTGGATATCATTGACCGAATTATTCGGGCGGTGATGTTGAAAAAAGAAATATTTTCATGTACATGTAAATAATCTTGATTACGTTTTAATTAACTGTTGCTTTTTTGTTTTTCGAGATATCAAGGTAAGCAAAAAAACAAAATGTTGGGTTAGTTGCCGAGTTTATTTCCAACTGACATATAAAACAAAACATTATCAATTTTCTGACACAAGCCTACGTCAATTTTTGTAAATGGAACACAATGTATATTATATAGTGTTTTAGAATATTGTATTCTAAATACTGCTGTATGTGACCACCATTTTCCTGAACACATTTCTCATACACCCTAATTGATGAGGTCTTGCATTTAATAACGTTTCCAGACTGTCGCTAAATTGATTGATTGCATCTGAAATCCTTTGCCGAAGATCCACGACATTGTTCCAAGGAATTCTGTGCAAGTAATTTTTTATGTGTCCCCGAAAGAAAAAATTCAGTTGAGTCCAGTATTCCATGTTAAGAAAATTTTTAACTTGCTGCCATATAATCAGCGCTAATATATTTAGGGGAAATCTTCTATATATTGTTCTATTTGGTGCTCTAAGAGTTGCAAATAATGATCTCCAGTTAACTTTTGATCTATAAATATCGGAACCAAAATATGCCCATCTACCCCTTGGGGTTGTATTTCGTGTACTTGTCTAGGATTATTTAATTCAATATCGTGTATTTTGTCTATTACAACCCTTTCTTGTAGGGAAAGAACTTTCATCAGTACAAAAAATGATTTTCAAAAAATTATTATTCTCATTAGGTGTATTTAAAAAATCCAAACAAAACTGCACCCTTAGACATTTAGTTTTGGTTAGTTTATTAGTTAGTTAGTGAGTGGATTGATCCCCGAGAAATACCTGCCTCTTCATATATTCTAGTAATAGAAGGGATCTGGATGTGCTTCATAAAATCCTAATATGTTTGCCTTATTTTCTTTATTTAAAACAGTAGGATTCTGGCATACCTTTTTAGCATTTTATACATTGCCGTTTTCTGCAAATTTCTTTGCCAGCCTAAAAATGTGATGCAGACTTATATGTCAGAAAATTGTTAGTGTTTTGTTTTATACGTCACTTGGAAAAAAAATGGCCGCTAACCCTACTTTTTTTTGTTTACATTAATATCTTTAAAAACAAAAAAGTTGCAGCCAATTCAAATGTTATCCTGCTTCTGGAGAGGCTAGGCAGATATTTTGTCCGTGGTCATCCTCAGGAACTTATCCGGTCATATTTAACTGGTCATTTACATCAATGACGTAGCATTTTCTGTTTATGACTTATGGCAATGACTCCAAGGAACTTATGCACAATGTTGATAATGTTGAGCGGATGTCGGAACTCTCGTTTACCAACAATAACCTTAAACTAAACACAAACACATATAAGACACAACGTCTCGTTTTCTCAACTAATAATAATCTATTGGAGGGCAAGAATGTAAGACTCTTGGGAGTAACGCTTGGAGAAAGTCAATTTTTTCAAAACTTTTCAATATTCTTGTTTATCGTGGTTAGAGAAAGTCTTTGAAAAATGAAAAATAATTTCTTGACATCGAAGGCATTTAACTAGCTGATGCAATCAATTGGTTTATTTAAGTATTTAAGTTTAAGTATGAATTTCAGCAAACTCCACCGCAATTAAACACACAAAACGATCTGTTGAAATTACTAGAAAATCAAAGTATCATCAAGTTGTAACATTAAAACTCAGTGACAAGATTGCTGACAGAATTAACCCCACTTCGTATGTGATTTGAACAGAATTTGCTACACATGAATTCATGAAAGATCACTGTTCCCTACTTGTGGCTAACCTAATCCAATGTTGAGAAATCAGAGGTCAATTTTAAATACACATCTAGCAAAAACGTTATATTATAGAAAGTGCGGCTACAAATTCGATAGAGAATCATTTTTCAAAAAACTTCGCCAAGTACGAATATGGTTTTCCCAAACAAAAAAAGTTGGAGACTATCTTTGATTAAACTGGTATGGGAGAATATTTCAGAGAGAATGTAAAATCAACCTTCAAAAGAAAATTAAAACAATTGCCGTTGTTACTTTAGTTGTGAAATCTTCAAGTAACGCTTTCCAGACTCCCAATCGGACATAATTGAGGGTTTTAGAGTACAGAGTTAAAAACTGATGTATTTTTAATCCAGTTACACGAAAGGAAGTATTGAATGGATATGCTATTAAAAAACAATATATATATGTGATAGTTTAGATGAACAGATGAAGCATACTATTTTACGTCTTATTCATATTCAACTTCATAGAAGTTTTGTGGGGATTTTATCCAACCAATGTCAGAGCAGAAAATATTACCCTCATTTTAAGTCCGAGTTTAATTAAAAATGTAATTAATAATATACCTGTTGAGAGGTCGAAAAAAATGCAGTAAAGCACATTTTAAAAATTGTACATTTGCGCCCATTTTAATTAATCTTAATGACGATGCTGAAAGTGAAACAAAACTAAATTTTGAATAAAAACGTACTTATTTAGGTAATTGCTGATAACTTATATTTTCTACTGATATTAATGTGATTTTATTATACTCTAAATGAACATAATATGAGATAGGTGCTCTTTGAGATAGGTGCTCTTGATACCGACTGCTCGGGTGTTTTTATTGTTATTCCTATCATTGGAAACAAACCATACCTATTTATCAAAAATGGACCTTTTCACAACCGGCTTGCGGAGAGAAGGTGGGGGAAGAAAATAACGTGGATGACCCTATACAATATAGAATCATTTGTATTAATGGCAAGTCTGTGCGTTTCCAGCCCCCCACCTCCCTTAATCATCCAATATGATTCACCCGTTTAGGATTGGGTAAAAAAAACGCGACGCGTCGCGACGTGTTATCCACTTCGGTATCGCCCTTACGACGGACGTCCCCACGCAATAATTGCAATCAACAATTAATAACATTTGCGTGGGCGCGCCCTAATGGGCCGGCCATTAGCGGCCAAATGAAAATAAATACCGGGGGCTCTGCCCGCGATCCGTCGAACCGAACATTAATCTAAAACGTCGCGGTGACACGTCGGTTATTTGTTTTTATTAAGGGGGCGTCGGGGGGGCGTCGATATCGAAACGA